CTCCCTCTCTCAACAAACACACACACACACACACACACACACACACACACACACACACACACACACACACACACACACACACACACACACACACACACACACACAAAGAAAACGGCCCCAAAAGTCGAGACAACTCCGCCCCGGTCGCTCACCGTTTCGGCAATCTCGAGTCATGTAATTTGTGTAATTAATGAGAGGAAGGGGGGAGGGGAAGGGAGGAGAGATGGGGGGGGGGAGAAGGAGACAAGAATAACACCGACAGCGGGAAATTGCTCGCCAAAGAGGGAATGAAAAAAAAAATAGATAGAAAAATGGGAAAGGAATTGCATATATTTTTTTGGTCTGTGTGTGTGTGTGTGATCGTTGTGCCATTTTTCGCGATGAAGAGGAGAGGGGAGGGGAGGGGGTGGGAGGAAGAAGGGGAAGGGAGAGAGGGAGAAAGAGAGAAGGGGGGGAGAGGAGAGAGGGAGAAGGGAAAGGGCTGAGGGGGAGAGAGGAGAGAGAGAGAAAAGGAGGAGACAGAGTGGAAAGATAAAGAAGGGAGAGAGGGAAAAGGGCTCGGGCTGAGGGGATTGAGAAATAAGGGAGAAGGGAGATAGGGGAGAGGAAGAAGAGGGAAGGCAGAGAAGAGATTGGAAGAAAGGGGGGTGGCAGAAGGGAGAGAGAAAGAAAGGAAAATGGAGAGAGGGGAGAGGGAGGAAAATAGAGTAGAGAGTGGAATAAGGAAGAGAGGGAGGAAGACAGAGTAGAGAATGGAAAAAGGAAGAGAGGAAGGGAGAAGGGAGAAAAGGAGCCGAAGGGAGGGTGGGGACAAGGGGAGAAGGTGGCAGGCTGTGACAAGGGATTCCGCTAAGGGTGATTTAAGTCGTGACACTAAGCGCGCTTGATGGTGCGAGATTATTGTCAAGAGGGGAGGGGGGGAAGGGGGTATGGGGGGGTGAGAGCGGTGTTGTCAAAAAGAGACAAGGGGTGTAGGTGCCACGGAGAAGGGAGGGGGGGGGAGAATGGCTGGAGGTGGGGGTTTGGGGAATGGTTGGGGGGGGAGGGTGGATTGGTAATTAGAGGGGGCGAAGAACTCATTTATTAGGGCTTGTTAATGATGACGGTATAGTTTACCTGGTTCATTAAGGTGGGGGAGGGGTTGTCTTTGTATATCTTTGTGTGTGTGTGTGTGTGTGTGTGTGTTTGTGTTTGTGTGTGTCTTGTCTGTCTGTCTGTCTGGTGTGTGTGTGTGTTTGTGTGTGCCTTGTCTGTCTGTCTGTCTGTATGTGTGCGTATGTTCTTAATTTTTCGTTCCTTACTCATTAATCTCACTCGGCCCACTGACTCCCACGGCATGCAACGTTGCTCCTCTCCTCCCTCCCTTTTATTTCCTCTTTATCCCATGCCCATCATTCGCTTCTCGCTTCTTCCTCGAGGTCAAACGAGAGGGCGTGGAGAGGGAGGTCAAGGGAGTGGGGGGGGGGGGACTAAAAGGAGGGGTTACGTAGGAGGTGGGTGTGGGGGGGGGAGGGTTAAGTGGGCGGGGTCATTCGAGGGGTCGCAAAGTCCCCCCCCCCACACACACACACTCCGGTGACGTCGGCGCTGATCTTTTCTGTCATTACATAATGGGGCTAATGTGACGCGATGACATGACAAGGGGTCGAGGTGGGAAAATGGGGAGAATAGGAGGGGGGGGGCAGGGTACTGGGGGTGGGGGACAGTACCCGGTAGCAGCGTGGGTAAGTTGTGAGGGTTGGTCGGCAACCCGTACACACACTGTCACAAACACGTACACACACTGTCACAAACACGCACACACACAGTCACAAACACGCACATACACACAGTCACAAACACGCACATACACACAGTCACAAACACGCACATACACACAGTCACAAACACGCACATACACACAGTCACAAACACGCACATACACACAGTCACAAACACGCACATACACACAGTCACAAACACGCACATACACACAGTCACAAACACGCACATACACACAGTCACAAACACGCACATACACACAGTCACAAACACGCACATACACACACACACACACACACACACACACACACACACACACACACACACACACACACACACACACACACACACACACACACACACAAAGCCACAAACACGCACACGCAGCCTTAAATTAGAGGGCCAGAGTGCCGTAATGCGAGATATTGTGTGGACGGTTTTGTTCCGTGGTCTGTTTTCTTTCTTTTTTTTTCTTTTTTCTTTCTTCTTTCTTCCCTGTGTTTTCTGGGCATATTTTCCTTTGTCTTTAGTGACTTTGTTCTTTTTCTCGCCCTTGCATGCACCGCGAGATCTTGTTTTCTTTGCGTGTGTGAGGGTACGTCAGAAAGTGTGTGTGTATGTGTGTGTGTGTGTGTGTGTGTGTGTGTGTGTGTGTGTGTGTGTGTGTGTGTGTGTGTGTGTGTGTGTGTGTTGATTGTCATGTGTGTCTGTGTGTGCTTCCATCCGCGCGTCCGTATTGTTTACACAGATATATTCATATACATGTGAATGTGCATTTACCTACGGAAGGTAAACAACCTGGCATCGATTACATAATGGAGGCTTTAAACACAGGGTTCGGATGAAATATTTTACGATGTATAGGAACGGTCTTCGGAATATTCTTGGTGGGGGGGGGGAGAGGGAGAGGGCGGGGGGGGGGGTCTGTGAGTGGATTGGAAGTGGGGGGAAGTGGGGGGTGGTAAAAGAGGGAAAGGTGGGGGGGGAGGTAGATATCGCTTCGGGGCGTAATTGCGTGGGCATGATACCATTTGCATGATCATCGTCGACCATGAGATCGGCAGAAGAGGAGGGGGGGGGGGAGAAAGAGTGGGAGGTGTGGGGGGGAGGGGTTGGAAGATGGGGAGAAGGGGATAGGAAGAATGGAAGGTGAGGCTAAGAGAGGGAGAGGATCGTAAGAATTGAAGGGAGGGAAGGAAAGAGGAGAAGGATGTATTTTTGATACAAAAAAAGAAAAGAAAAAAGAAAAAAAGAGAGAAAAAAAAAGAAAAAAAGATATATACATATATATATATATATACACACACTGTTTTATCTATGAAGGTTGTATATCTAAGATAGAGAAATTTTACTAGCGAAAATTGGCGTATGATGGAGAGAAAATGTATAGAAAAAATACAGCCTGTTGGGGGGACAGGGGGGTAGGAGGCATGGGCGTAGGTATAGAGACGAAGGATAATGTAGGGTGAAATAGGGTGTAATCCAGGGTGATTCATAAAACAAACAGATCGATTTGGGATAAGCTTAGACTTATATATTTTAGAAAGAAACGTTCTAAAATATATATGGTGGCGGTGGTGGTTCTTTAGGGGAAAATTGTATTATAAAAGATAGTAAATGAATAAAGAGAGAGATATTATTATATGAAATGACTTAGATAGTTAGATCGAATGACTATTAAAAAAAGGATTTTGGGAGAACAAGATTAAAAAGAAAATACTCTTGATTTTTTTCTTGTTTTTTTTTTCCTCATTTTATCGAAGAAGAACGAAGAAAATAGAGAAATGCCAAAAAAAAGAATATCAAAGAAAAAGAGAACCAAAACTTGACCTGGGATTAAGACCGAAGAATTTAATTAAAAAAAAAAAAAAAAGAGAGAGAGAGAGAGAGAGAGAGAGAGAGAGAGAGAGAGAGAGAGAGAGAGAGAGAGAGAGAGAGAGAGAGAGAGAGAGAGAGAGAGAGGGGAGGGAAAAAGCCACATCGAAAAAAAAAAAAACAAAGATTAAAAAAAAATCCCAAAATACAATACCTACCCCCTCCCTCAAAAAAAAAAAAAAAAAAAAAAAATCGAGGAAAACCAAAGAAATACTCGACCCGCATTCGGATCGAGGAGAGCGCAGGATCAGAACGAATTCGCATAATACCGCTGGGTTAGATAGGTCACCTCAGGGGGCAGCGGGGTTCAGCGGGCGCGGTTAATTGGCGGGAGAGGGAATGACAGGCAAGAAGCCAAGCAGCTGTTCGTTCGTTCCTCGTGTTCAGGATTGGAGGGAGGGAAAGGGAGGGAGGGAGAGGGGAGAGGGAGGGAGAAAAGGAGGAGGAGGGGGAGGTATGGAGAGGGAGGGAGAAGAGGGGTGGGAGAGGAAGGGAGGGAGAAGAGGAGTGGGAGGGAGAAAAGGAAGAGGAGGGGGAGGTATGGAGAGGGAGGGAGAAGAGGAGTGGGAGAGGAAGGGAGGGGGGGAGAAGAGCAGTGGGAGAGGAAGGGTGGGAGAAAACGAGGGGAAGGGGGAGGGAGGGAGAAAACGAGGGGGAGAGGGAGGGAGAAGAGGAGTGGGAGGGAAGGAGAAAGGGGGAGGGGAGGAGAGAGAGGGAGGAAAGGAGTGGGAGAAGAAGGGAGGGAGAAAAGGAGAAGGAGGGGGAGGAGAGAGAGAGAGGGAAGAGGGAAGAGGGAAGGAGGAGAGAGAGAGAAAGAGAAAGAGTGAGGGAGATAAGGAATGGGGAGGGGGAAAGGCAGAAGAGAGAGAACGTGACAAGGAGAGAGAGAGAGAGAGAGAGAGAGAGAGAGAGAGAGAGAGAGAGAGAGAGAGAGAGAGAGAGAGAGAGAGAGAGAGAGAGAGAGTGAGTGTGTTGAGAGAGAGAGTGAGTGAGTGTGATTGTTGAAAGGGAGGGATGGAGAACAGCAGAAGAAGACAGCAGGCGATCAGCAGACAGCTATTAAGCGCGCGGGAGAGAAAGAGAAAGACTATTATCTCGCGTTATCGCTTGTTAAACAGTGTGGCATCGTTCGATTGGCGTAGAGAAAGAGAGAGTGCCTGCTTTAGAGGAAAAGTGGGGGGGGGGTATAAGGGATCTGTGAACGAAGGGCATGTGTGTGTGTGTGTGTTTGTACGTACGTGTGTACATCGGGTGCAACAGGAAGGCAGAGGGGGTGGGCGTGGGGGCGTGGGGCGGGGAAGGAGGAGGAGGAACAGCAAGGCAGCCTTGGGGCACCCCGCACTCCGCTGGCGACCCACGGCGTG